GAGACCCCTGCTCTATTTGGTGGGATCCGGAAGAAGGGCCTTCTTTGTGGTGGCTCCCTTCCCACGACATCTTTCCTGATCAGTGGTGGGATTCAAATTTTTTTTTTTTACTATCGGTTCTGTGGGCATGCCACGGCTTGGTGGGCGTGGCAGGGTGAAGGATATACTGCAAAATCCCCCTTCCCTCCCCTCCCCACCCCACTAACCTGCTTTCCAGCTCCCTTCTCCTGTGCAGGGCAACCAAAGAAGACCCAGCCGATCAGCTGGGACTCAACGGGAGGCAGAGAAGAGAGATGGGGTTGGTGGGGCCAGTCAAAGACGGCATTGGCCGGTTCTCCCAACTACTCAAAATTTACACCGCTGGTTCTCCAGAACCGGTCCGAACTGGCTGAATATAGCAATAGCACTTAGACTATATACCACTTTATAGTGCTTCACAGCCCTCTCTAAGCAGTTTACAGAGCCAGCTTATTGCCCCCAACCATCTGGCTCCTCATTTTACCCACCTCGGAAGGACGGAAGGCTGAGTCAACCTGGAGCCTGGTGGGATTTGAACTGCCAAATTGCAGTCAGCCGGCAGTCAGCAGAAGCAGCTTGCAGTACTGCACTCTAACCACTGTGCCACAGAGGCTCCTATTGAATACCACCTCTATTCCTGATTTAGGAAGACCTGGTTCTGCCAACAGGCCTGAGGGACCCTCCCCAGGGAGATGCAGCACCCACTTAATTGTGGCTGGTGTGATTGTTGTTGTCAAAAGAGTAAGGTTTGATTGGGGTGTTGATTCCGCAAGCCGCCCAGAATCATCCTGAGTGCAGTCATATCAATTTTCTTAATAAAATATAATAAATACCCCAGGCAGACCCTTGGGCCCACGCTTGGCTTTCCAATCAATACAGGAACCTGGCTGACAAGCCCACTTACTTGGGGAACCAGTTGGGGTCTCCCACGAAGAAGCCGTCGTCTTTGGAGACTGCCAAACCGCCCAGGTTCATCAGGGTCCTCTGAACGCAGGCCATGTTCTTCCCTGCAGGGTGGAAAGAGGTCGGGAAGGGTTTTCCAGCGTCGCTTCCAGTCCATTGTCCCAAAGGTGCCTTTTTTTTTCACGAGGCAACTGGATTTTCTTTGTTTTTTTTCTTTGAAGACGTTTCATTTTTTTTATCCAAGAAGCTTCTTCAGCTCTGATTTAGATGTTGGGGAAATGGAAGGGTTTATACTCCTTGCGGACAGCTGGTCATTTGCATCCTTTTAGAGGGTTGTTGAGGCCACTTGGAGGCTTATCTGTATCCTCAGGGTCACCTGAGTGGTTTCAGCAGATCCAAGAAGGCCCCCCACCCTATTTGCACCACTCAGGTGACCCTAAGGACACAGATGAACCTCCAAGTGGCCTCAACAACCCTCTAAAAAGGATGCAAATGACCAGCTGCCTGCAAGGAATATAAATCCTTCCATTCTCCACCATCCAGTCAGAACTGAAGAAGCTTCTTGGATGAGAAGCAAAACATCTTCAAACAAGAAACAAGAAAGGTCCAGTTGTCCCCTGAAAAAACGCCTCTGGGGCAAGCACGACTGAGTCTCTACACGACTGAATCTCTACAGACTTCCAGTCCACTGGACTTCAAATCCTAGCCTCATTCTCACAATCGCTTGCATTCTGCATAAGGATTTAAAAACCCTGAACCTTTTTTTCACAAACGGCTCTTCGCACAGCTTTCCGAGAATACCAAGGACTGATCTATATATTATATAGGCAGTCCTCAACTTATGACCACAATGGTGCCCAAAATTTCTGTTGCTCAGCGAGACAGGTGAGTGTGGCTCCACGTTACAACCTTTCTCCCCACAGTCATTCACTTAACAATTGCTGCAGGAAAAGTCATAAAACGGGGCAAAAAACTCACTGAGAAACTGGTCTTGCTTAGCAATTTGGCCATTTTCGGCTCAATTATCGTGGTAAAACGAGGACTATCTATATTGGCCTCTGCCCATTCTGTCCCCAGTTCTCAGATTTTCCAGTGAAAGGAAAAGAGAAATTTAGTTTCTAGCCATTCCTTAAAAACAAAACAAGTGCATCATTTCCCCTTAAGTGTTGCAACATAAAATCCAAACAGTATTGCAGTTTTGAAAACATTCACTAAAATCAGATACCTTTTGAAAACAAAAAAAAAGGTGAGTATCAAAACATTTAATGCTACAAAAATGACTTTGGGTCGAAACTTGACAGTATGCAACTAACAGAAAACTGCAAATAGGCCAGTTTTTAACAGACTGCCTCATCTCCCTTAAATGCCAAGAAAAAAGAAAGAAAGAAGAATTTGCAAAATAAAGATACCCTACGATAGCTCAAATAGACTTTTCATGAAACAGTGTTTCTCAACCTTCACCGCTTTAAGATGTGTGGACCCAGAAGTCCCCAGCCAGCATATTTTAATATTTCTGGACTTCCATTCCCAGAATTCCCCAGCCAGAATGCTTTTAAGATGGGTGGACTTCAACTCCCAGAATTCCCTAGCCACTGCCATGGAACAGAACTCTGCGATTCCTAGAAATGTGCACTTTTAACGGTATAAATCAACCATCAGTTTGAAATAGCTGCTCAAAGTATCACAAAGGAAGATCCACCAATGTAAATTCAACCTCTCTTTATCTGGCAGCCATTTTTTGTGTGTGTTCGGGATAACTTACAAAAACAACAACTAATTTCTGGTTTCTTTTTCTTTTTTCCTGTTTTCTGATGACTACAGAGAGTGGGACAGCGAAGCACCCTTAAAAAAAAAACCTTTTAAAACTCTTTTTAAAATTTTATCTTTTTTTAAAAAAAGCAGAGAATTCAACCTCTCATTGCCCAACTTGGGACTTATGGATAGGATAGGGTATAGAATATAGACTAATGGAGTTGGAAGGGACCTTGGAGGTCTTCTAGTCCAACCCCCTGGTTAGGCAGGAAACCCTACACCACTTCAGACAAATGGTTATCCACATCTTTTTAAAAACTTCCAATGTTGGAGCGTTTACAACTTCTGGAGGCAAGTTGTTCCACTGATTCATTGTTGTCACTGTCAGGAAATTTCTCTTAAGTTCTAAGTTGCTTCTTTCCTTGGTTAGTTTCCCCCCATTGCTCCTTGTCCTGCCCTCAAGGTGCTCTGGAGAATAGCTTGACTCCCTCTTCTTTGGGGCAGCCCCTGAGATATTGGAAGACTGCTATCATGTCATCCTTAGTCCTTCTTTTCATCACACTAGACATACCCAGTTCCAGCAACCATCCTTCATATGTTTTAGCCTCCAGTCCCGTAAAAACAAAATAGTGTAAATAGCAGGTGGGTTTTCTAAGTCCAGGCAGCTTGCTGCTAGAAGCACCAATGCTTGATGGCCTCTGATCTTTCTTTTCGAAACATACCTTCCCACAAATCCACCGTTTGGAAAATGTCCGACGCCAGGATGCCGTACTTCTCGGCTGCACGTAAGAATTGAGAAATCTGCTCCATTTGTTTGAAGGCCATGGTGAAAGACTGGATCTTGGCCACGGGTCCCTGGCCCTTAGGATACAGGCTGTTGATGAGCCGGCAGAGTACCTACGGAGAACAGGAAGCACCGCACATTTAATTTCCTCATTCCCCTTGGCTGATTGTCTTAACTTCTCTGTTCAAGGGTCAAAAACCAGATAGAGTTGGTCTCCTTGAGCCAAAAAAACATGATGCATAATACTCTGGGGGTGATTTATGGCAGATTTGAGGTCTCTGCCATAAAGCTTTACAAAATGATTAGTCAAATGGTCATTTTTTGGTGTGTGTGTCTAAATACCAAGGAACAAGTTGCTAGTCCCTATTAGAAAAACAGGCATCTAAAAATCTCTTCTCTACCAAGTGATCAGTCAAATGGTGATTTTGTGTCTAAATGTCAAGGGAGAAGTTGCTAATCCCTATTAGAAAAGTGTGAATCTAAAAGAAAAAAACCCTCTTTTTCTCCAGTAAATGATCAGTCAAATGGTGGTTTTGTGTCTGAATGCCAAAGAATAAGTTGCTTATTAGTGTGGCTCTAAAAATCTGCTCTGCTTTATGGCTTGCACTAATGCTTCCATAATAGTAGCCTAGCCTTTTTTTTTTTAATGATTTATTTAAAAAGCCCACAAGAGAGTTTCAAACTATTTATATTTGCATCAACATCTGGAGTCTTTTCCATGCCTCTCCCCGGACTTTATATAACTAATTTAACAAGAGCTGTTAGAACTTATTTTTTAATGCAAATTCTTCCCTTTAGGCCTTACAATTTTCCCAACGTGGGTGGGCTTCATTCATGTACTTTCTTTTTTTTTTTGCTTTAAATCTTCCACCCTTTCGCCAACTCCATGGTGGATTTGACCAAAATACCCTCCGAAATAATTTTTCGAGAGCCAGTTCTGCTTCATCCAATACAGTGAGAGCAAGCAGAGCGAAAAGAATAGAGGCAACGTAGCAATAATAATAATAATAATAATAATAATAATAATAATAATAATAATAATAATAATAATAATAATAAT